TATCAGTTTGGCAACTCTCACCAGTATGATTGTCCTCAGTAGTCAGGGAATGCAATGTCTACTAAGTACGTCTGTTGGGCTGTTATAATTTTTAGGGTATTCTATTCCAAAGTCCAAAGAAAAACGGTATTTCGTTAGAAAGTCTAATCCAAGTATGTGAGGGTCTGTAATATCTTCCACATAAACTGTATGATGGTAGATAACATCCCAAACATAATATGAAAGGTTTTTAACTTTTTGTTTATTCCACCTCAAGGAATTTATTTATGTGTTTAAATTATCTAGATGAACAATCACTTGATCCACTAGCTCCTGGACATAAGCAGCCTGCAGTTGGATGATGCTCTGTGTGTGTTGCTTGCTGGGCTGCCTCAAATTTAATAGCATACATTTTATAGCAAGTACTTTTTATATCCTTAACATCGGCCATTCGCAGGGCTTTCTGTATCTCAGGATCCCAGATGCCATCAAATGAAGTACTTCAGGGCAAGGATTTCTCTTATTTCAGTGGGGCAGTAAAAAAGAGGCGAGATGAGACAACCTTTCAACATCTGTAGCAAGTGTGAGTGTTTCAGTTTGCCTTTGTTGTCTTTAACTGAAGCCTGCTGTATTCTGTTAAACGTTTCTCAGCAAAGCACAGCTGCAGTACTCCAGATAAAGCTTTTAACTTCTGATTTTCGGGCAGAATATGAAAGATATTCCTTGCATCGTCTGCTCTCAAAGAAGCTGTGAGATGACAGGCTTTAATTTCGGAATCACAGGCATTTGCATCTTCTCTTAGAGAGAACTGATTCTTGTACACTTGTCATCACATATGGATAGCTTTAGAGAGGTTTGAGAAGACATAGGTAGGAATTTAAAGCCATCAGAATTGTTTCAAGCTGTCACTATAGATTTCTTCAAGCTATCAACTCCCTTGGCGACAGCAGAAACTTTGTCATCGATTTGTTGTTCGATAGCATAGACAACTGTTTCTTCGATTTGTCGTTCAACAGCATTATCTCTTTCTTCATTTTGTTGTTCAACAGTAGCAAAAACTCTGTCTCTAATTCCTTGAAAAAAAACCATGAAACTTATTGTTATGGAAAAATATTAATTTTATTTTTAACCATGAACTTGAATTTTGAAATCATGAACTTTATTTTGAACTATGTATATTCTGTGTTCAATAGCCTCAGATTTGTTTATATTATGGCAGTAATTTATTTGTCTTTTAATTTTCTCTTCACCTGCTCCAATCTTTTTTGACACACTTCCATCTTTTGTTAAACTGCTTTCATCTCTTTGACAGACTTCATGGGCCCTTTCACCTTTTCGTGACGGGCTTTCATCTATTCTTTAAATTCAAGCAAAGGCTGTCACCAGCTGTCAGTTGCTTCTTCATGGCAATTGTCTTGGCAAAAAATTGTATTACGTTCATATACTAGGTTCATAAGGAACTGAATTCGCACAGAATCTGTTGATAGATTGATGGAATTTATTTTTCCAAAAAATACAGTTCTGGAACTTTTCTTAGAAAAGTACTCTTACAGCTGTCCTCAGTATGACAACACAATCAGTAGTTACTACTTAAAACTGCTAAGAACATTGAATACAAGGCAGTACGAAAAGTCTCAAATGCCTAAGCTTGCATGGTTGATCTCTCTATATTTTCAGCTAATTTCTGAACGAAACTGATGTTTTCACCAGTCTTATGTAGTTTTTCCCTATTGTCCAAGATATTTCCAATACCTTTGATTTCTTAAAATTGCTAGAAGGAAAAACTGTTGCAGTCACGTAGGGATTGATCTAGTTACATGACACGGGGATTGAACCAAAATGTTTGCAAGTGGTTGTCAAGTTTAGTGACTTTTGCTATTTTCTCATGAAATTTGGTGACAAAAATTAGTCTCAAATCATTGCCAGCTTGTCACTCAGTATCTCTCCGCTTTGACGAGATATGAAATGGACTTACTCTTGTAACCCTGTTTCTCCATGGATGCTTTGCACTCTGAAGCCTTTCAATTTACATTACACAAGAGATTTTACAATTTAAATGTAATTTCAATAAAAGTATTTACATGTATTCAAAATTCATTATTATATGTTGAGTAAAGTTTCGATCCATGTGCTAAATTACTGATTTGGTTTCGTACCTTTTTCACAGAGGGAGCATGAAATTAAGAATATCATTGAAAATTTATTTGTCTTAATGAAATATTAACTCAGTTTTAACACTATAAATATATGATTTTTTTTTTTTCTTTTTTGGTATGTTATTCAAGACTTTTAACTGATTATATTCTACATTTTTGTTTCAAGCATATTCCAAATGAGGATTCAAATCAGCAGCCAGATATTAAATTTTATGTAATAAAATCACTAATAAATGCTAATATCAGGATCACTTATAAAAAGAGTTCTAGGTAGCTCGGTAACTTTTGAAGATTTTATTTTCATTTTAAGCAGCAATAGAATTTATGCAATTATTTAAGGATTGGGTAAAATACTGGATTAGGTACTGGAAGTACTCGTAATACACTCACTTCCAAAAGTTAAGCACGGAGAGGAAAATGCTAATTTCAGAAGCCAATCAGAATTGGAGAGGATGCAATTCGCTGCAGAGGTAGATGGAAGTATGCAAATATGTTAGGTAACAACCAATCACGCTTTCATGTCAAGAAATATGCAATAAAGGCAGTCTTATAAGAAGCCAGCTTTTTGAAGGGTTACAGAAGTTGGTTGCAAGTGCTGATAGAAGGTGTTTAAAACTTTCGTGCAATTTGTTTTCAAGACATACGTGTTTCTATGACTTTCAGAAGACAAATGGAAGATTCTGAGCGCTGGTGTGCTGTGGGGTGCATTGAAGCAGGACAGTCGTTCACAGATGTTGCTTGTTTCTTCGGCATTCATCATTCTGTAATTTCACATTTATGGAAACAATTCCAAACCACACAGACGGTTGTCCGAAGGCCCGTAGCCGGTTGCCCAAGGGTTACAACCCCCACGAAAGATCGATATATTGCTATTGTAGCCAAATGGAATCACAGAACGACCTCCACATGTGTGAGATCTATGGTTACAGCGTCCATCGGTAAGGTGATATCTGCACCTACTGTATGCTGAAGATTACATATGAGTGGACTGTATGCCAGGGTACCTCGAGTTTGTGTTCCTCTATTCGTCCAATCAAGAGGGGCATGATTACAGTGGTGCCGGGAACATGTTAATTGGAATGTGTCTGACTGGGGCAATGTCATATTTACTGATGAGTCAAGATTTGCTCTGGAGCCAGATGACAAGCATATAAGGATATGTTTGAAGAAAAAACACGCCATCAGTCCCAAAACATCACTGAACATCACGCATTCCGAGGCGGAAGTATTATGGTGTGGGCAGGGATTTCATTAGGATTCCACACCGACCTGCACATCTTTAAACAGGGTTCTTTAACAGCTGTCCAGTATCGAGATGAAGTTCTAGAACCCATTGTGAGATTATACGCTGCAGCAGTTTGCCTTACTTTTGTTTTAATGGACGATAACGCACATCCCATAAAGCTGACATCGTCAATGACTACCTGGAAAGTGAAGGGATTGCGCGTATGGCGTGGCCAGCATATTCGCCTGACCTTAATCCCATCGAAAATCTTTGGGATGCTCTCGGCTGTGCTGTATCTTCATGTTTCCCACCTCCAGCCACTCTTATTGAGCTAGAAACTGCTGTACAAGAAGAAGGGTGATTGCTTAATTCTGCGGTTGTTGACCACCTAATTGAAAGCAGGGTCACAAGGTGTAAACTTTGTATACAGATGAGGAGCATCACATACCCTATTAATGTCCTTTTTTTTTCATTTTATGCTGTTTATTTTCACTTTATACATAATTCTGTTTAATTCTCCAGTATGTCATTATCTGATAACTTACAAAAAGTTAATATTCTTTTCATTTCTGTATATAATTATTTTGTTTTATGCATAAATATATATGCTACTTTCCTGCCGAATTTTGTGTCTATCAAAGTAGTATTTGTTGATTTATTTTTGCATTTTACATCTTCGTGCTTAACTTTTAGAAGTGAGTGTATTTATCAATCAAAAAACTTTGTACAAACACTCTCATTGAAGAACTAATATTAGCTAGTTTTCTTGTTTTATAACATGGCTGAAGGGAGTATTGACATTTTAAAAATTGACATGATTAGAATATGAAATTTATTTCTTTTGGAAATTAACTGCAAATAATGAAGTTTTACTTTTTTTAAATGCAATGTATTATCAATTTAGTGAGGACGTGATTGTTAAGCATTTCAAGATTTCTTGTGAATTTTTATACTACTAATTTATATTAATGATGATCAACTAGAAATATGCTGGCTGCATGAGGTTTTCTTCTGTTGCCTGCGGGTAGCTTGGTAAAATTTACAGTCATTGAACAACAGATTTCCAAATGCATGTGCTTTTTCTATACTTGTAACTATATTCAGAATTTGCTGAAAATCTCTGAAAACTGACTTTTGCAAACATGTTCTTTGCATTAGCATTTATGGTATTCTGAGTTACTTGTACATTTTAAGGCTTAAATGTTAAGATACATATACCTAAAAATGTTTTCAAAATATTTTAAATTTCTTGTTTGTTTAATCTTATGCTTGGCTTTGGTGTTATTTTATTTGCAAAAGTGTTTATGAAGCTAAAGAGGAAATAAATATTACCAGATTCCTCAAGTAACTAATATTTATTATTTCGTAACATAGTTTCTATAACATAAAACTGTGATTTCAAATACTTAGTTGAATTGCCTCTCAAGTATATAAAAATTAGTCACTAATGAATTTACATAATCTCTCTCTTACATAAACTTATTTTATGCTATTCAAATTTCAATAATAATTTACATTGCATAATTTATTAGAGTTCTGTGATATTCATTAGAATTTCATATTAAATTTTTACACAGAATTCTTAAAGGAATCTAAATATAATTATGTAATTTATGATGTTAATGGGAATTTTTTAACAGGTTGAAAAGCTAAAGAATGATAAATCATTGTCAACTGATATGCTTAATGGTGCCAAGAAAGTTCTTGATATGAGGAATGCAATTACTAAGTTGATGACAAAGTGCCAGCGGATAGCATTAGACATGGAGGACTTGGTGGAAAATTTGAAGGAGAACAAAGAGAGTTCCTCTGGTTATGTCAGTAAGCAACCAGATTTACTGAATGATAGGTAAAAATCAAATGTGCACGTTTTATGTTTTGCATTTTTTTATTAGTTAAGATATTTGTAGGAAAGTAGTTTATAAAGCTGATTAAGCTACTTATTATACACTTCTGTAAGCTGTGAACGAGTGGTAAATTTAAAAAAAGGGGGGGGGAAGAGGCTAAAATGTATTTTCTGCGAATGCTTAAGAATAGTTATAGTGCACGTAAAAATTTTTACTGACAACAGGTATGTTTTTATTGGATCTTTCCAAATTTTAGGAATTTTATGTGATCAAAATGTTATTCATCCATTGGACAACACATATGTAGTTTATCTGTAATTTATTGTTGGTGGGGCTAGCAAGTAGACCGTATTCAGTAGGTTGCCATTCATTGTAACACAAGGTTTTTTTAATTTATTTTCACCCCATCTGTGGTTAACCCATTAGCCGCTGGTGTTGCGTTGACGCAACAGTCAAAATAAATGCGTATATAAATATAACTATGTAAGATATTTTATACCACCAGATGATTTTGTGTAGGGAATATTATGAAGATTACTTCTGTAAAAAATATTTGCTTTCAACAATCATTTTGTTTATAATAATTAATCTCATACTTTAAGCAAAATTTTCGACCTGGTATTTTTGCCGAAAATATTTAACTAAGGAATCGCCGTCTTTATGAGTGATCTATTTTTAGTCAAGGTTTACCATTTATCAGAACATTACATCAATCAGATGTTTATATTTGTGTTGGGAAGGAAGGGAAAACAGGTGTTGCGCTGACGCAACGTCAGCAGGAAACGGGTAGTCTCCTTTTTTAGTCATTCCTTTCGATGTACTGGTTTATGTTGTGGCTGCTTTAAAAATTTCTATAATGAGGTATCTTACATTAGAAGAAGCCCTTCAAAGATTTTTTGATGAAGAAACAGATGATGATAATGTTAATAATGACCAGAATGAAACTGATATTGTTGTTGTTTCCCCAAGAAATTGCAGAAGCTAGTGATGAAGAAAAAGGGAATGATAATATTTTAAATAATGATAATGATATTTTACCACGTGATATTGCTGGAAAAGTTGAAATTCGCATAAAAAGTAAATTTCAGCCTTCTAAAAGCAGTGGTAGTCATAAGAAAAAGTTTAAAAAGCAGAAAACTGAAAACTTGAAATGGATTAAAAAAGGAACCCTTAGTTATGTCTCAGAAAGAAAATAAAGAAAGAGATGGAAAAGAAACTATGAAAGGCATAAAACAAGTGGAGAGATTTTCGATTTTCTTTTTGGTTTAGACATTTACTCTCTTCTCTTTAAACAGACAAATATATATGCTCAGCAAAAAGATCTCCCAGAATTTATTGGATCTGAAGCCTATATGAAAATATTTATTGGAATATTATTGCTTATGGGATATCATTCTTTACCTCAAGAAGAAATTCATTGGTCATTTGATAATGTCCTGGACATTTCTGTTCCTATCATACGAGAATCGATATCACTTTTGTAGTACAAAAATGTGAAGTAGAATTTGCATTTAGCTGTCAAGAGTCAAATGACAATACTGATAAATTATATAAGGTGAGACCGTACCTAAACTTACTAAATATCATGATTTTTCTACTACTGGAAATAAAAAGTGTCTTTTAGATTTCAGACGCGAGATTGCATTATTCCTTTTGCAAACTCCTATTGAGAGTGTAGAATTAGCCAGAAATAGATCAGCAGCAGGAAGACCTAGTAAATTCAGCATTCAAAAACCATTGCATGGAGATGGTAGACATTTTATCATAAAGTCCATTAAAGAATTTTTAATCGTTATTAGATGTGTAAGGAAGGCACAAAATGCACCAAAGATGAACCTTTCTCCGATGAACTCTCCGCTTTCAATTAATTACGAAACTGATTAAGCCAGAGATTTATTTAACAACTAAATATGTCATTCAGCAAGATCTTATATTATATATATCCTGCAGAGCAGGTTTGAGAGCTCATTCATATTTTTGGCATGTTACTTTTCAAATTGTTTCAAAAACACTTCCCTCCCCTGCAAAATAACATTGTCATATGGCCAAGGATATGATTCCTTCAGGTGAGTCTTTTTTTAAGTTGCATGATTTCATAGATTTTTGGTTTTCATACAGAAACAATTAAACAGGTGGACTGAATGTCACTTGAGAAATGAACCAAGACTGAAAACATTCAAATCAGTCAAAAATCATGATAATGAATGTTTTTGTCAGTTGCCTTGATTATGAATTTCTGCAAACTGGGGAACTTGTTGACAAAGAATATATGTGCATTTTGTAGCATTTGCTTGAAGTAAATCGTAGGAAAAAAATGACCTGATTTTGCATTGTTATAATTCACCTGATCTCAACAGCTATCGCTGTTTTACAATTTCAAGTCAAAGATTGGTAACCTCATTTTGAACGTCCAACGCAGAATGGGAGAGAGAACCAGCAAGATTTAGATGCAGGTGTGTAAAAAGGTAGAAGTCCAAAGTAACGATGTTCAGGGCTATATGGGGGGTTGTGTTAAAAGATCCCATTCAAAGTTCAGTCACTTCTTACTTTCAAGGGTTTTACCTTTTTCCAGATACTCTTTATGGATAATACCACGGCAATCCCACCAGATACAAAGCATGATTTTTTTTTATTCGAGTTGCGCTTTACAATGCTGCTGATGGACTATCCAGGCATAGACCAATCTTCTTCGCAGCCTGTGTTGTTGAAGTAAATCCACTTATCATCACAAGTGATGATTCGGTCGAGAATTTTGTTCTTGCATTGATATGAGCAGATTAGTGCAGGCCAAATATATCTATTTGTACCTGCTTGAGTTGGCTTATGTGGCACTCGGTGATTAAACTTATACATCAAGTTTATGTGATGCATAGTTCGACTAATGGAAAGGCACTAACGCCTAACCTCCTTAGCAAGCTCTCAAGTGTTTGTATATTGATCTTCATCCACAAGTTCTTGCAAGTGGGGCTCATCAACATCAGTAGGCTGGCCAGAGCAATCAGCTTCATGAATGTCATAGTCCTTGTTTTTGAACTTTCAGTACCACACAGTCACAATAGAGTCTTTCTAAAATTCTTGGTCTTGCGGGTTACACTACATAATGTTACAAAGACTTCACAAATGCGGCACCTGCAACAAATATAAGGTTTTTAATTTATCCAGTGATTGAACTTGTACGTCAGGTTTATGCATTGCATAGAGTGACTAATGAACATGGCAGGAGCGTATAACTCCTGAGCAAGCTCTCGAGTGGTTGCGTACTGGTCTTCATCAGCAAGTTCTCGCAGGCGGGCCTCATCAACATCAGTAGGTCGGCCAGAGCGCTCTACTTCTTGAATGTCATAGTCCTTGTTTTTGAACTTAAGTACCAAACCTTCATAGTGTCATATGATGCAACATTAGTATCTAAAGCTTTGCACATGATTTGGTAGCATTCTGTAGCTGATTTTTTTGCAACATAACTTGAAGTAAATGATGGTTCTAATCTGGTAGTGTGATAGTTTCATTTGAGACACCTTGTACTTAACACTTTTTTTTACAAATTTCACAGCACAGTGTTCTAAAGCAAGTCTCTTTCTTTCAAAGGTCAAAAATCATTTGACAAAATGTGATTAAACACACCAACACAAACTGTTTGTGCAGACGATATTTTTGGTGGCTGGAAACTTTCGTTAAAACCCGATGTGTTTTAAGTTCTGACCGATAAATTAGAATTTTGTTTTATGGAATCAGTTAAAAGCTTTTTGATCTCTGTAGTCTTGTTAGATTTAATTTGCTTTTATTTTTTGTTTTCTCTTTAGATTTTATTATTACATTTTAATCTATGAAAAATAATTATTATCAACAATTGAATTTTAGAAGATTAATTAATAAACATTCAATTGATCAAATTTTGTAATCTTTGAAATCTTACATTTATATATTGTTAATTTTTATATATTTGATTTTCATTACAGAATGCATTTGACTTCATATCAAATGTTAGGCCTGAATTGGTTGTTACTTATGCATAATCAAGAAGTGAATGGAATTTTAGCAGATGAAATGGGTTTAGGCAAAACTGTTCAAGCGATAGCATTTCTTGCTTACTTGAAAGAAATAAGCATTTCTGGACCTCATTTAATTGTAGTTCCATCTTCAACTTTAGGTAAGTTTTTACCATGGTTATAAATATTTCAAAAATATATTTATTTTCTATGTTTTCTGTATTTTTTTTTAAAATTCGTCATTTTTAAAGTAGACAGGAATGAAGTTTGAATGATAAAATGATATGCAATTTCTAACTTTGAAAAATGTTTTTATTCGGAATTGCTTTTATAATTAGCTTTTGATTAGGTAACACATAAATGTGCATGCACACTTTAAACAATTATTCTTGAATATTTAGTGTATAAAATGTAAATTTTTCAGATGCTATCATGATTAAAATTTTAGTTAAATATTTAATATTAGAAACAATCCAGTTTGAATTAGGCATCATTTACTTACAATTATTACTTTAGTAATTGATAGAAAAAAAAATGCCAGTTTTTTAATTTTAAAACTTTAATGAAGTATGCCATTTTCAAGCTTTGTTAATTTTAAACATAGCTTTGGAAGCCATGGTCCATTTTAAAAAATTGTAAATGTTTATAAGAAATACATGCCTTTTTTTTTTCTGCCATATACCAAATTGTATTTAATTTGATTAGTGATTGATTTATTCTATATGTAGCAAACTGGATTTCAACTATTTCTGATTAAATACATGCATTATATTTTAGATAATTGGAAGAAAGAACTACAAGTATGGTGGCCCACTGTATCTGTAATCTGTTATCATGGGAGCCAAGAAAGCCGTCGTGAACTACGTATGCAAATCCTTAATGATGAAGTAGATGAATTTGATGTGATGATCACAACGTAAGCAATTTCCTTAAGTACTGAAATTTATATGCATTATGATATCTTATTAAAGATTTTTTATGCATTATGATATTTTATTAAAGATTTTTTATTGGAAAGATGCCAGTGCTTGATTATGCTAATTGAAATTAGGCATTTAAATTTATTTAAATTTCTGTGTAAATATTGTATATCCACTAAATATCTAATATATATACTTTAGTTAAATTTTGTTTGAATGATAAAAAGGTTTCTTCCTTTTTTATGAGCACATATAAACTGAGTAAAACTGGGGTTGCAGCACTGCTTGTTGGAATTGTTGGAAAGCTTTTATAAAGAGGGGTCATGTCATGACAAAGTATGCAAATGATCAAAGTTACTAAGTTCTGTAACATTCACTGTAGCTAGTGTGAAGCAAAACCTTTTATAATTACTAACATCTATCAAACAAACAAATTTTAAATTTTAAAGGAAATTACTTAAAGTACCTTTTTACTGACCATTACGGGAATAATAATCCTTCTGTCACCCAGCTGTATCACCAGAAATTGTAGCACCCACTCTGCTGCTCGTTGTCAGTGGACTTCTGTTTGAATAACTTGCATGTAAATGCAGAACAGCATCATTTTCAACATTTAATCTCAGTTTCATTCTTTTGCTTCATTTCTGATATGAACCAATAGAAATTATAGGATATTTGGAGAGCAAAACAGGTTGGCATTTCTCAGATTTATATGAAATAATTATGTAAACATTTTTTTCTTTCATATTTTAAAGAAATAAAGATGATTCTGTCCCCTCCCCATTTTAAATCTTATGAAAACGAGACTAATGACAGTGCTTCTTCGCCTTTCATACGTTTTGCTATTCTCTACCATACCAACACATTATCATTTGGGATTAGCTAAATTCCCCTTCCTGTGCATTACTGATAAGGAAACAGGTTACATGATGTATCAATCTCCTTTGAAAAACGTACTGTGAAGCATATGTAATCTGAAAACTAAATGGAGTCTTCCCAGTCAATACCAGCAAAAGTGCAGCTTTTGTAAGCAGTGCCAAAGTTCAGTACTAGTGTAGATCCATATACAACAAACATTTCACAAAGATTGTCTCTGAGGTATCACCATGCTATTATGGCCTGTCAGATTCCCATATGTGTTGCACATTGAAAATATCTGGCATGTTTCTAAATGAGACTGCTACAGGCTGAACTATTATCTCTCAAACAACAATTGAACAGATTGTGCAAGCAATATCATGAGATGCTATGCATCATTAATGGGTAGTAAAATGTAATATTAATAAAAAAAATATAACCACTTTATATTTGTATGATGATTTACATTTCCCATCTTTTTTCCTAGTATTTTATAAAGTCCTATTCATTGCCTGAATAATGACCATTCTAATTGCCATAATCTTATACAGTGTGTCGATAAATTTCAAGAAAATTGCAATTTATCTTCTTGGTACTGCAGTTTCAGTTTTACTTAGTGTACGATCAGATTATTTAAAATTAATTGTGACATCATACTCAGAATATCTGGAGCAACATAACATAGCATATGACTTTCTCCATAAAAGTGTTGTCAGTCATCACTCGTCGACATGATTTAAGGCTCAGGTGCAGTGCACGTTGTGTCAGGCTCGTGGGCTAAAAAAGCCTCATCCTGCATATAATACATATAAGGAGTGACATGGCTTTCCTAACATAACACGGCACAATGACTTAAATGAGAATAAATTTCGTGAAAAGCATTGATGAGCCCTGCGCATATATGTATCTTCGAGTCAGTTACTTCCGATGCCTGGAGATGTTTCAAGCAATAATGTCATGGCAAAGGTGGCAATAACGCATAACTTAAAAGTCGCAGGCTACCTTTACGGCTGCTGCCGTTCAAATGGGCAAAGAAGGATGATGGTAGAAGTTCTTCGGCGACTTGGATGGAGCTTACTGGGTCACGTGGTCCAATTGTGTACCTGATAAGTAAGTGCTTAATCTTGCTAATTGGGATTGAATTCTAAGGCATTGGTCAGGGGGCGGGGCAAGTTCGAATCTTACATATCTAAGTAGGTAGATTTAATAAAAAGAATAAAATGTTAAAATAAAATATCTGCAATCAAAGAGCAAAACGACATGATTAAAATGGTTGGTTCCTGTGATTTTTTACTTTTTTTTTTTTTTTTTTTTTTATTTTGATTGGTGTAGTTACAATGAATAAATTTTTTTTTTTTTTTTTTTTTAATTAAGAGTAACTTTTTAGGTTTTAAATTAAAAAACTGCTTTGCATTGCTTCAGATTGTGGTAGCAACCTTAAAGGTATAGCATATGGCAAAAAACTACTATGAAAAGCATGTATTGTTTTCCACTTACCAGTCTCAGTTCCAAAATTTTCATGATATATTCCATTTTATTCTAATAATCATACCTGTTTTTATGTAGTCTGTATTTTATCAGTAGTTTGGTTATTTCTTTTTAAGAAATTATTTTTCTTGTTATGATGGAATATATTGTATTCGGTAAAGATTAATATTAATTAAAATTATATTTTCTGAATTTTATTAAAAATTTTGACATTTAAAAAAAGACATATTTTATGGTAATTCTAGTAAAATCTTTCATCTTGTATTCCAGCTCATTAAGTCATAAGTCATTGATAAGTGTACAAGGTAACCAAAAATGTTTTTGTCGTTTCTGATATGACATTGGAAGAGAGAACCCCAACATAAAAACAGTCACCAAACCTGGCAATGAAGTGGTTAGGATGGGAGTTTGGACATTGACCAAAAGTATAAAAGCGTGTTGCATCAGTACTTCAAACATAACTCGCACAATGACTTATTGAAATGGCCGCATCAAAGGCGCTCATTCGAAGTTGTTTGTTGTGGATTTTACAGGGGGCCTGTCAGCAGCAGAATCAAGTCGCTGAATTTGCCAGGCCTTTGGGTATGATGCCATTAACAAACGAACCACTAGGCAATGGTTCCAGAAATTTAGGTCTCTTAGTGATGCACCACACAGAGGTCGACCACATGTGTATCATATATAGACAATACTCCATTTGCACCACAGGAAAGGCATACAAGCTGAGCAAGTGGGTACCCTACTCATTATCCGATGCAAACAAGTAACAGCATGTCACTGCCTGTTTGACAGTGCTTTCTTGTCACCGTGATACATCCATATTTGCTAGAGTACTTACCAGTGATGGAAAGTGGGTCCAGTTATGTGTGTCTGGAATTCAGGCATTCTGGATATTGTTTGTCACCACAGGACCCTGTGCCTCACATTGCGAGACCTCTCCACCCACACAAGATCATGCTTTATTTGGTGGACTAGTCGCTAAGTGGTGCACGAATGAGCTCCTGCTAGTGGGCCAAACCATCACGGCAGACCTGTACTCGCAGCAGTTGGAACATGTGCATCAGGCACTGATGCATAAAGAGCCAGCATTGGTCAGTCGTAAGAGTTTACTCCTCCTCCATGAAAATGCGAGGCTGCATGTGGCTCGGAAGGCCAAGGATACCATCCAATGACTGGGCTGGGAAACACTATACCATACTCCCGAGACCTCGTGCCAGAGAACTGCCACATTTTGCATTCCCTGGACAGCCATCTTCATGGGAAATCCTTCAACAACTGGCCAGACCTTGAAAAGGCCCTCACGGACTTCTTTGCATCCAAGACTCCTTTGCATCCAAGATAAGTTCTATCTCGATAGCACTGTACAGCTAGCCACTCGTTGGCGAAAGGCATTGGAGGCCAATGGTGATTACTTTGAGGATTAGTGGTGATTATTATTTGTTTTATGACTTTTTCTTTCTGATTGCCCAAAATGGCCAGAACGTTTTTGGTTACCTTGTAATTATCATTTTGTTTTTTAATTACAAAACAATGATAAATGTTTAAATAAAGCAAAATTTGAAATATGAACAAAATTTAAATTTAAATTATACTCAACCTGTGAATATGTGTATGACCTCACTTATTAGTAGTGTATGGCTTTGTACTTTCTACTTTCAGTGTTTAAAACTTGTATGAGCAATTTGATCAATCTTTTATTGGTACTTTATACCAAAATCAGTTTATTTTCCCCCAACTTTATATAACTAATATTTATTAACCTAGACTATGTATTCCATAAGCCTCTTCTTCCTTACTTTCCCTCATTTCCTGTGATCTGAAACTGACTTGCTGCTTTTCTTAGATTAAATTTTCATGAATTTGATAGGTAGAAAAGATAATAGAAAGCTGATTTAATTAAAAGATTTTAATTCATTTTGTGTTGAGTATTTTCACATTCCAAACTAATTTTGCAGCTTCTGGCTATTAATTGTATCTAAGAAGATGAAATATTTTAAACAATATATGCATATATAATTCACATACATTTATGTGTGTAATGGTATTTAGGAGTTTTGTTTTACAGAAAACAGATATTATTATTTTGAAAAAACTTTTATTTGGTAATCTAAAAAATAGCATTTTATTATTTCATGTGATATATTACCATAGCAGTAAAAAATAGTCAGTACTTTTCTGACATACCTTGTATTTTTAGTGCCATATTTGATGCACTTTGGTTTATTTCTTTTCTTAGTATTAGACAAAATTGAACAGTCAACAACAGTAAAGGAACATCTTTTATTTCACAACAAAATCTTCCAGAAACCCATTGTGGTGACAGAATGTAGCCTACATTATGTATTTTTCTTTTTTTAAATAACATCTTACCAATTTCCATATTTTCATTGCATTCATTAATTTAAAAATTAGGATGAAATAATGAAGAATTAACCTTTTTTCTTTAGTAATCACTGTAATCATCTGTTGATTCATTTGAAGCAAGCTTTTGCTTCACAAAACTGAAGTGACATCTTGAGTAGATGAGTCGTACAACAGTAACAAAAGGAATTTTGTGTACCGAGAAATCACAATTGTGTTCTGACATCTTTTTCTTCCTGATACGAGCAAAGGCTGTGTAATTATTTGGCATCAAATTGCATTTAATTTCACAAGGCAGTTACTCAAATATCATCTGTCTTTTGGAAGAACCTTTCTTGTGGAAACAAATACCTGTTTCTTCATCTTTGGGCAAATACTAAGACGTGAAATTCCTTGTAGTGGGGGAAAAAAAATATTGAAAAATGTGGCCACATAAGCAATGACTGTTAAGACACTTATCACCAGGAAATAAGATGCACCAAATTGGCGACATCTGGTACTAAAAAAAATCACAGAACAACAGGGGGAAAAAAGTGCCAGGTAATACAGAGAAATACTGTGTAGTTAGTATGCTTTCTTTTGTGCAAATATCATATTTACCCTAATTTTAGATAATGTTTGATATATGTAACATGTTTCATATTTAACTCTCCTGTTTCTAAAGCTTAGTAGCATATCAGTAATGACACAAATGTCATGTTTCAGATTTAACTAAGAATGAACTAAATTTTAAAAATACAGACTTGAGATTTAGCACTGCAGTTTTATTAGGTTGTAATTGGTGAATGACTTGAAAACTTGTAAGCATAGAAAACTAATTAAGTTGTAGAGCCTTTAGGATTTTTCTGAAGCAAGGAAACTGAAGCAATCTACGATGTCCTGGCCGGTACCAAACTTTCCACTTAAATACCTGATGTGCTTCGAATTACACCATGAAGGCATGCAAAAAAAGGGGGGGGGTCATTAGATTCATTCAGAGGAAAGTCATTGCAGATTTGTTTGGCTATGAATATGTGATGAATTTAGGAAACAATTTATCTCTGTTTTGTAGTTTCATGTTTATCTCTCTATTTCAGTTAAAATATTTTATCTCTGCTGAGTTTAGTGTAACATCTGTATGCTGTATGCTAATATTTATACTTTTTAATTAAAGGAAATTCTAAATGACTAACTGAAATATTTTCTTTCAGGTATAATATGATAACCAGCAGTGCTGAAGACAGAAGTTTCTTTAAGCGTTTGGAATTTCATTACGTAGTGTTTGATGAAGCCCATATGTTGAAAAATATGGCTTCTCAAAGATATCAACATCTAATGAGAGTTAAGGTAGGTTTAATTTCTTTGATATGCTAATTTGCAATTGTTTATTGTTGCTGATTTTTGAAAATAAGCATTTTCGTATGGTGTCATGTTGTATTTTTCTGTAATATATATCTTTAATTTGTGCAATTATTTATTGGGTTAGGCTCCCAGAAGACTCTTGCTAACTGGTACGCCACTACAAAATAATTTAGTTGAACTTATGTCTTTGCTCATTTTTGCTATGCCTCATATATTTTCTGGGAAAACTGAACAAATAAAGCAGATGTTTTCAGCTGTGAGTGTAAGTACTGATTTGATATGCTTTACCTTACGTACATCAAAATTAATAATTGTCTTTTATTTTTAACCAGTCCTATAATATAGTTACATTTGTTTTCTATGCATTTATTGTACATTGCATGTAATAAGAAATCATCATGTCAAAAACTAAATAACCTAGTAATAGGTACCTGTTTGTTATAAGCACAAAGTATCTGCAGAGTAATGGAAAATAAATTGATTAATGGGAGAAAAGAATGTAGTATGGAATGTTTTCTGAAATCTCTTTAAGTAAGAGTATAAGTGCAGAATGGAAAACATGTGACATTCACTTTAAAATGAATTTTCTGTAAATTTAAATCACTTTACTCTCCTTTAAAACTCAAATATTTACTATCTTTTCCCCCTCTGAAACTGGCCTCAGTTTACCATTGAAATGTTTCTTTCTCCCATTCACCAGCTGTCAAGACCTAAGAAAAGAGAAAAATTTCTTTGTTCTCTAATTTGTTATGTGAAAATTAACAAAGAAGATCCCCTAAAATCACACTTTCAAATGAGCAGTAGTTTTCATTAAAGTGCCAGATGAAAAGGGAAATGGAAGTGCATTCCTATTTCCTGTCTTTTTAAGTAAACTTTGCTTTGTATGATACTGATACAACTTAGTCCTGAAGAAAGCATAAACAATTAAGCCATAAATCTCCTATTTTCATTTTCACTGCGTTCTACATGGTAAACATAAAACGGTACGCTTTGTCTCGGGAAACGGCGAAGTGGTTAATATCATAATGTGAATAACTTAATAATATTATACATTTAAATAAGAAAAAAAAATGGGAAATAGTTCTGACCTTGGATTGTTACAGTTATGTTGGATTACAGTTGGTCTTTGGAGAAAAATTATTAATGAATTATGAGCAGTCATCTGGAGAAAAGTTGAGTATGGTATTGAATTGAAAAGGAGCTGGGCTGTGTGCAACGTTTTTTTTTTTTTTTTTGTAAATTTATATATTCAAAATAAAGTAATTAAAAGTAAATTAAAAAAGCCTATGACTTGTGCTAAAGCTACAAAGTAATAAACCAATAATTCATAATAATTTATAATAAGAAAACTGTCTATATACCATCTCCAAGGAATACAAATTAAGTTTAAAACCATGAAAAAGTTTCATATTTTTAAATTGAATTTTTAGCAGTTTAGCTGTACTTATGCACCTTACTTAGTATAAATACTTTTTGGAAGCAACTATGTCATTTTTTTTTCGTAACTTCTACCTTGTTAATATCTCCATACTGCTTTTCTTCCCTGTATAAGATGCTTATGTTATACTTTTAAAACCAGCATACATAAAAATTATTGTATTAAACTGTGATTGAATAAATACCTTGTCTACCAAAATGATCTGATGTGAATTATCATGGAATAAAAATTGTGTTTTGAAACAGCCACAGGTGGAAGTTTTTAGTTTATGCATCCATCCATCTATCTAACTATGTAGACTCCAAGCTACAGTGTATCAAAATATCCATTCTCAGTCATGATGACTGCAAGCTGCTAAAAGTATTAGTGTTTTCTATGCACTTAAAATAAATACTACACATATATATATATAACTTTTAAGAAAGTCCAAAAAGAATTCTAAAATTAAGTTTTAAAAAGTAAAGAGACAAGTCTAGGTGAATACTGCAAGACCAAAAATAATAAAATTAAATAGGAAGAGTTGGAACTAAAATGAAAAATGATTTTTTTCTTTATGAAGGCCCTAACGAATTCTCTCTCTATGCCTACATAATCCTTTATCTGAGTAAACCTACCAGGTGGTGTTATTTTATAAAATTCGTGCTATCTCGACAAAAGTACTAAGTACATATTCCATTTCACTAAATTATTCAACATGCTAGTATATCAAAAGAGTCTATACTTTAAAATTCAGTAAACAAATCAATTTAATAGAATGCAGTAAAACTTGATAATAAATAACTTAAATTTGCGGTTTGCTTAAATTCAATTTTATAGGTACATGTTACTATTATTAAAAAAGTTGCATAATAATTCTAATTTTAAAGAATGAATTAAATTCTTCTACATAATACTTAATGTTTTATTTATAGACCTACTACAAAAATGAACCAAAAAACTCAGAATCAAGTATTTCTAGAAAATTTTTTATTTACTTATTTTTATATATTAAGGTATTTTTATATTTTAGAAAACTAATGAAAATAAACTTTCATATGAAAAAGAACGCATAGATCATGCCAAGAGGATTATGAAGCCATTTGTATTGAGAAGACTTAAAAGAGAGGTATTGCTTTTGTATTAGCATTTAAAAATGTTTATAAGAATATTGTTTAATGTAAAATTACAAAATTTACTAAATAACATAGAATAGTTTCTAATAATTGTATTCCTTTATCACATTACTTATTGTATTATTTTTTCCATTGGACGATGCTTTATAAATGCTTTCTTAATAATGCATATGTTTAATCTAAGTTTTCTTCTTTGTTGTGTGCATCTTTACTATGAGGACTATTGTTTATCTTCATTTCAATTCAGTATTCTCATTTGTGCTAACTGACAGTTGTTTGTAGAACTTGAGGTGCTGTAGTTCAATTTTAAAATAAAATTGTTTATTTATATTAAACCATTATTATTATTTTTTAATGATTGAAGCCAAAATTACTATCCTTATTTTATTTGTTAAGCATGAAAGATTTCCCATTGGCACGAAGAAGAAGAGATCCATACAAAAGATATAAAATCATTTTGCATAATCTAAATGCTTCCATCAGTTGAAAAATCATGCAACTGTTAATTAACTATGCTCAGATTTCCTATTTACTTTGTTCCCACAGAATTTGTTTATTTGAGTTTATACGCAGACAAAATGCAAATGATATGTTGTTGGAAGTAAATCAATCTCTTTTACTCTCAAATCACCAAACTTGAATCCATTTTAAGTATTATCAATATGTATTATTAACTCTCTAATGTATTACTAACCCTCTAATTAAAAAAAAAAAAAAAAAAAAAAAAAAAAAAAAAAAAAGTCTGTTTTGCCTTAATTTCAAATTAAAATATTTTAAAATTATGCCTTATTTTTAAATTAAAATATTTTACATTAGTCAATCCATCAGAAATGTTTTTGGTAAATTAATAAAACAAAGAGCTGGCAGAAGAATATATTATTGAAATTGAATTCTGGTAACATGCAGGCTGAAAGTGGTAATAATGCCCACAATGCCCACTTTAGCATTGAACATGTGTATAAAAGTTTTTAAATATACATATATATATGTGTTTGTGTTATAAATCTTTTGAATAGTAAACTCTTAATGTGGGAGAGATGCTTAAAATATTACATACTTTAAGATCAACTGGAAATTAAATTTTTTTTACAAAATGTATGAATTCTTTTTTAATTTTTAAAATAAATTTGAAAATATAGTAGAGTCCTGCAAACTCAACTCCTGATATCTCAGCATTGCATATAAATCGACAATCTTTTGGGAACTTTTTTAACATATCTCTAGACCAAACAGAACAAATATTACATACCCTACATATACTTATTATTTATGCATATATCTTTCCTATTCTGTTCAAAGATTTGAATGTTCCTTTTCTGTAATTTTTGCCACTTTCACATTGTGCCGTTAATTCTTGGAACTGCCTAACAAATTTCAAGATACGTCAGGTAGCCATGGGCTCACATTCCTTTCTGTCATTGCGAAAATGTTAGGAGACTTGTCTGAAGTTTTGTGATTGTATCTTATTGCAAACTAAACTCGCACCGGTTCATTGTATCATTCCTCAATTCACATCCAGGCATATAAGTTTTAACATATTTTAGGGAACTTTTGATATTCTGTGAAGTAAAAATGTCGTTCAAAAAGAAAATAAAACAAACCAATGTGGCAATGGAAATGAAACTAGATGCCTTAAAGAGAGGACAAAAGGAAAAGTGTAAATAAAAATACCATGGATTTAGGTGTTGAATGAACTACTTTGTTAGCGTGGAGGAAGAAAAGGTCTGAAATCGCGTCTTGGAGTGTAAAAAGAGCATGTATGGAGAGTTTAAGGGAAAGAAGTATGAAAGGTGGTGAATACGACAAAGTGAGCAAGGTGCTTTATTTGTGGTTCAGGCAGAAAAGGGAACAAGGAACACTCATTTCGGGACCAGTTTTTCAAGAAAAAGCTCTAAAATTTTATGATGAATTTCAAGGAGAGTTTGGATTTACTACTAGTGCTGGCTGGCTTGACAGATGGAAAACGCAGTACATCAGACAGTTAAACTTTTAAAGGGAAAAGCTATTTGCTAACCTGGAAAATATTGCAATATTCAAGGATTATTTCCACAAACTAATTGAAAAAGAGGGTACATCTGGAGATCAAATTTATAATTGGGATATAGACCGGTCTGAATTTGTTAATGCTACCTTCGAAAACGCTGTCATCCAAGGAGAAAAATCAGCACATGGCTACAAAAGAAACAAAGACAGAGCCATAATCTTGGCATGCAGCAATGCAACAAACAGCCATAATCTCAAACTAGTGTTTACAGGCAAATCAGAATATCCCAGGACATTTAAAAAATGTAAAACAGTATACTAATGGAACCAAAATAAAATATGATCTTCCTGTTTGGTGCCGGAACCAGTCAAATGCATGGATGACTGGATCAATATTTGATGATTGGTTTCATCAGCAATTCGTTCCATCAGTGGAAAAGTTTTTAAAATAATAAATCTACCAAGGAAAGACTGGACAGTTATGGACAGTTCATCATCCCTTTCTGATGCAGAACAGTTACAAAACGAAGATATAAGAGCCCTGTTTCTCCCTCGTAATGTAACTTCAGTGTGTCAATCGAAGGACCAGGGTGTTTTGGAGGCATTGAAGAAAAAGTACAGCCGTAAACGTTTTTCATCTCTTGCCGTAGCCATGGAGGAATGGTATGATATGATCGAGAAACCGTACAAAATAAATATGCTAGATGTTGTAGGATGGATTGAATGGATTCTTGGATTAAAATCGAGCAAATAAGCCTGGTTTGTTTTGGGAGAAAGCTGCGGGACCATTCAGAAAACAAATTCGACGATAGAGAAGAGCCAGAAAAAATTGTGAAATAGTTAACTTACTTAAGAAAATACTAGGCTTGTAAAGCTTTAAAAAAAAAAAAAAAAAAAAAAAACTGTACATCATAGTGATATGTTTATGTGTAATAATATTACTTGTAAGGGAAATAGAGGCTCTTTTTTAAATTTTTTTTAAAGGATAAATTGTCTAAATAAAAATTAAAGCTGAAAATAACAGTAAACACTTGTATTTCCCATCCTTGAATTCAGATTCATTTTGCAGTCTCATCACAATTAGAAAACGCCAGAAAATCAGATACAGCCCTTGTATAGTTTTATGTAGCCATGATGAGTTTATGCTCATGATTTTGGGTAATAAACAGTATGTCAGACTGAAGGTAGATTCAGATTCAGTTTTATTTATATTAGTGCCTTGCATCTCTCTTGAATATTAACCCTCCACTTACCATGTGATTTGGACACATTCTGGCTCTGAAATATGGGGTGCTTTTATTATTATTATTATTATTATTCTGTACCTTTGTATATTTACTATTCACATCTTTATAAATAAAATTAGTATAATGCAGAAATTTTAATAGTTTTTTCTTAATTTTAAAAAACATACTTACGCACGCTATTTTCATGCTACCCATATTACAAGACGGGTTTCATATCCCATGGAAATCACGAGAGCTGTATGTGGAGGGTTAAAATAATTAAACAAGGGATTGGCTTATTTGACCTCTAAATCATAGTTCTTTTGAAAACTGAAGACTAAAGGAGTACCTAGGATTGCAAACAGTAACTTTTCAGTGATTGTCCGAGGTATTTGTAGTGACCTAAAATAAGGATAAGGAATATGTAATGTGTGCTTTCTTATAAGATGTGTGATAACCATGCAAAAAAAGGTGACAAGCATATATTCAAAATAGAAGAGGACTAAATTCATATTAAGGTTCCATTTCTGTGATCTTCTTTTACTTCTCTTCTTTTTTAAATTTCTAAATTTCTCCTGTTTTAAATGAACATTTTATTGCTTTGCTGCTTGTTATTCAATTAAAATTCAGTATATTATTGATTATTAAAATTTGAGTACATTTTTAGGCTGGTAAAGGAAAAACTAAATGTGTGTTTTTTTAAAGTTTTTACTTACTTTGTTGGTGTAGGTATTGAAAGAGTTGCCACCAAAACATGATGAAACAAAATTTTGTCCTATGGTTGAAACACAGGCTAAGCTGTATAAAGAGCTGGTTGCAAAATTTTCTGAAGAAGTATGTTTTCATTTCTTTTTCTCCCTTTTTCTTACTGCCTTTATTTATTTATTTATTTATTTTTTAATAAAAAGTATTTATCTTAATTTGAACTTTTAATCGAAAGCTAACTTATTTCACATTAAATTTCAGTTAATATCCGCCATCAATAAATCGAGCAAATTTGAGTAAAGTGTGCAAAGAAACGGGTGTTTCAGTAGTTCATGCATAATGAATATGTTGTTGTGACTTATCTCACTTGTCTGACAGTAATATCAGAACAAGCCCATTATTCATCATTCGTGGCAAAGAGTGCGATTTGTGCCTATCGCTAGCAATAACATCGAGTGCCATACAAGAGATAGCAATAACCTCGAGCACCATACAAGAGACAGTATGATTTTTTCTCAGTTCTGCCCTCAGTTTTGAAGGAGAGCACCCTGAGGGAGGTCCTAGGATCTCATACCATCAACCTTCATGAAAGAACTTTCACCTCGCCGCACATTTAGAATGCTTCCATGCCGTACAGACTCTTTCAAATATTTGGAATTTGAACCTGGGCCCTGGTACAGCAGTCAGCATCGCTGTTCATGCACCTGGTTGGGCGACATAATGAATATAGGAATATTTTAAATCAAGCACATTTTTAAAAATTGAGGATTTCAATTATAGTTTAGTGTAGTGAGATAACTGTGGAGGAACAAATAAAATATTAAAAAAAAGTTTGTCAGTTCAGTTGATATATATGGCATTAAGTATACCATATATTTCAAGTTTTTCCCAGCCTCTGCCTCTGTAGACCAAGAAATAAAGCATTCTAATACAGTTGGTTTTTACTCATGCATGTAGTGAACATAATATTTTAAGAATTGATAAAGCGTGTGTTTAATTTAATTTATAGAAAGCTGCTTTTTGTATTAATACATTATTTATTTTTAGATTGCTTTGTAGTAGTGTCTTTTTTTAACTGATAAAAATATTAATTATTTTCATAGAAGTGAGAACTTCAGTTTTAGGAAAGAAAGGATTCTAGTTATGGAATTTTTGTAAAATAATTTGAGAGAAAAATTTAGTATGTAATTAATCAGAAATATTGCTGTCAAGTAATTTCACTAAATTAAAAAATTATTCTCATATACACGCTTATGATGACTATTAAAATTATTACACCATGAAGCAAATCATTTAGCAGAATTGCATTTATATTACAAATACATTATAATGAAAGGATGAAATGATTAAAGTTTCAAGTAATTTTGAAGTACAGATAACATGCAGAATTTTAATACCTTAAGCAGCCACTTTGTGATCAATAACAGCTATTATAGGCTGGATAGGTACTTTGGATGGCACTTACGGGTACTGAAGTCCATGCAGCTTTTATTCTGTGCTCATTTGCTGTAATGGCTGGTAGGTGTTGTTATGCCACTCTTTTTGCAATCAATGATTATACATTTTCAGTTGGCAAATCTTCTATACAGAAAACTAGCCAAAGCAGAAATTGGGCAGCGTATGTATTGAGGAAACATAGGAAAGCATGAGTAACATACCATCTTGTATTATCTATTGAAAGTTGGGAGGGATAGAGTTTGATGATATAGCTCAGCATTAAAACTTTGATAATGTAATAGCAGCTGATTGAAATATTGGATATGCAGACTAGAGGTGAATGGGATGTGTGTCCAATAGTATCTTATTATATCCATCTTATTCCATATCATTCCAGGGGCTAAGTGATTTTAACCTTCCTGCACGCGCGCTTGGCAATTTTACATGAGCACGCATGCGTCGAGTTTTTACGTCATCCATTATTTTACTGTTTTTGGCACGAAAAACGACAGGAATGAGTGAATATTGATAATAAATTGGTTAAGAAATAAAATATTAATCTTATTATTGCAAAATACAAATGATATTACATTCAAATATAAGTAAATTATTTTTAAGTTCTTATGTTAGTGAGGCTCACCAGTGGCCGAGCGGTAATGGCGCTGAACACTGGTAGTTCGGTCCGAGTTTCGAATCCCGTGAACGGGCTCGCTGCAGGGGTGTTTTCGTGGTTTTCTCCATGTGTAACGTGTATACGAGCCAGTTCCCCTTAGAAAGTCCTCCACGAAGGCATCCCTCCCCTTAGGCAGATAGCCCTCGAGCCTTTGCCGTAATTAAGTAACCTAACCTAACCTTATGTTAGTGAGATGGAAATGCAATGATGTATTTCATTATAAAATTTTTTTCATTTATTATTTAATAATTATATTTTCAAAACAAAGCCAATTTTAATATTCGTCAAGTATAGACAAATAAAAAAGGAAAACACCTTGGTAAGGAAAAGATTAAGTTTAGCATTACTTACTTCTACAAGGAATTTACTTCTTACTGGTTACAAAAATGCAATTTAAACAACTTTAATATTTTTATTTATTTCCAAAAAATAGAAATAAAAGAAAATAAGGAATAGAAATTGCTATCGTTCTCCCATTGAAAGGTTTCCTTTTCTTCATCAGATAAATCTTGAAGAATGTGAGCAAAATCAGCTGGTTGCACATATTTTTTTGCCATGGAAACCGATATAAAATTTACAGAGCGAAATGTATTCAAATTAAAATAATACACGGCAATTAATAACACAAAATAACAAAATATGTGAGAAAAAATATATTTTCCGAATTTTCACCCGCGGCCACGCGCATGTCGTAAATTTTACGAAAAGGTTGCCACGTAGCACAAAAGCTCAGTAAAAAAAAAAAAAAAAAAAAGACAAGGAGAAATAGAAATGAATTTCAAACGTCTCAGCTTCGATATGCGAAAAATATGCATTAAAAACTGAATTTGTTGTAAATTTTGTGCATACGCGAGTGCTGGAAGGTTAAGGAAAAATGCAGACTTCCAGCATTTGTTCCCCACCTGCCCACATGGACACAGCAGTCTATTAAGCAAAGTGTAAGACTATTAAGCAAAAACTGGATGTTTCAGGAAAGACATGACACCTTTGATGAATCTGTGTACATTGTTGAACATGTGTTTTTTGCTACTGTAGCTTCAAAGAAATCTGAAAAAGGGGTTGAAATATGTGGTACTGTTGATGTCATCATATTATATACTTGGTATTGTGCAATAGGGTTTATGAAGAGGCTGCATTATCTCTGACAGCAATGTATGGAGTAGGTTTTGTCATATTGGGCATTGGTGAGTGAGGATTATTGAGATCCTGCATGCCATATTATGTGGTGTTCCGGGACTCATCAGGGTTGCAGATTCTAATGAGTCATTGAATCTCCATGAATATAAACAGCATAGGCTGCAGTCTTCCTGCGACTGAGTTCTGAGGTGTGCTCATATAAATTATTTCTTCTTATATAATGCATAACATGACTTTCAGCATAAAAATCTGATGTGTACACCACCTGACTTCCATGTATGGAATATTAAATTATATGTAACTTTCCTGCATTTCATTTAAACATATTGAATTAACAGTTAATGAATTTTAATTAAATCTACTTCGTCGATAGTGCATATAGTGCATCATTTTATAACTCGGAGTGCACGAAAATTATATCATCTGAAGAATTACCACATGTTTTATTCAAATACAGTAATAAATCTAAAAAAATGTATGAAAGAAATTAAACAACTAAAAAAGAAAGTTTTTCACAGTCTATTCAGCGCCACTTACCTAAAGCGCATACGCTACTTATTAATTCAGTTCTCACTTCACGGCAAAGCAAAAATACATGAAAATTCAAAATATTTTCACTAAAAATTTAAAGGTATAGAAAAACATAAAACACCAAGTACAGTTAAAACAAAGAAAACAATTTTTACATTTAAAATTACAGTTTCTGTGCAAAAACAAGCTAATAACTTAAATGATAATTCTAGAATGAATCAAGTACAATTTAATTTACAATAATAAAAGAAGACATTACTTTGTTGTTGCGAAGCTTAGTTTCTCTAGACCGGTAACAAATCCACTATTCTGCTAAGTTTCAAATGTAAACAAATATGGCTGCTATGCTAAACACCGCCACACTTAAAAAGCTTTTGAATTGTTGATAATTCCACAATTATTGCATGCAGGTTAAGTAAAGGCATAAAAACCTTAACTTAAAGATAAGAACAACATATTTCAATCATTTTTAAAGCAAAAAATGTGCAATTTACAAACATATAAGAATAAAGAAACTGAGCCGAATAACAGAGTGGATATATATATACATATATTTGTATACTTTTGGCGCGGCCGATTGCAACCAAAATAGGAGGTGCTTATCTACATGTTATAGCAGTCCTATATACAAAATTTCAACATTCTGAGGCTACTTGTTTCTTAATTACGCGAGATACATACCTATGTACAGACATCACGAAAAAATCTCTTCAGAATTCATTTTAAATCAGCTTTATAATGTTTTTTGAGAAAGAGCCCTTTATTCGGTTCTTACGTATGGATGTTATGCAAAAACATTGTTAAATTGCGTTCGATAGCTGTCAAAATGGATATTTCGGATGATGCCCAAAATTTTTTATTACAATGCTTTCTTTTTACTTCATACAAGGAAGTAAAAAGCAATGAGTAAATGTGATTTTTGAATGAAAAATTGGCATTTCAGTTTTTAATACTGAATCAAAATGTCATTGCACTCATGGATGTAATGTATTCATGTAGGGAAATACTAATCATTTGCATATTCTACCTTTCTGATGTATTTCAGGTTTGTTGTAGTATAAAAGGTAGAAAGTATAAAATCAAAAATATGACATATTTGTGGGGTGATGACTGTACGTTGCACAGATTGCACTACTCCATCTGATAACTGGTGTTGGTTGTGCTTGTTAAGATTGCGTATTACTTACTGCATATAGAACTAAAATACATCTAATTAAAATATGTGGGGAAGTTCAATTAACAATACATAACAGCACTGAAGTCATTAAAACAATTATTCTAAGTTATTGTTCTCATTATGCGAGGATCTTGCTAGCAAAAAGAATCTCTCTAGGTAAGAGTTTAAGAGCATTCTTAGTTTTGTCTTGTCTAAAACAATTTGCAGTCTGAATTAGTCACACTGCATTATTTCTTTTTGGTTGTATTTTATATTCTCAGATTTATTATAGGTGGAACACTATCACAAGAGTAACCTATCGACACAGTGCTTTGGTGACACTGCAGATAGTGAAAATCCCTTGATACTGGCTGTGAATTTATGATTCTTGTGATGTCAGGAAGAGGCATTGCTGAACGAATTATTGCTTCTGTAGTGTCATACCCTATTGTCTCGCATCTCGTAACAGCTTGAACACTGCCACCTGTGGCAGACTGTACATATGAATTTCTTATTTTTTGTGGTTTGTCACAGTTGTATGAAAATAATGAAGTATGATACCTTGAAAGAACAAACAAACAAACAAAAACTTACTGTTAACCTTTATTTAATAATGGTTCATATAACCTTAAGCAAAAACATGCCCCCCCCACACAAAAAAACTTAGTTTTATTGTTTATTTTATTAAACACTTCTTTTTTAGTGAAAGTTACTGAAGCAATTTTGTTTTTAGCCCAAAGGGGCAATTTCCCAGAAGAACTACTAATTACTCGCGCTGAAAAAAAAAAAAAAAAAAAAAAAAAAGTACCTAAGATGTCAAATTTTGAATAATGTAGTCCTCCATTCAAATATGGTCATCTGGAAGCCTAAATTTGGAATTTGTTTTATTATCTATTTCATTTTTTGTAAAACTGTAGCGAATTTTTGATTAACAAACTCGATGATTTCAAAGCGAGAGTCATAATTCCTTATTCAGTTATAAAATTCCTTTAGTCAAGTGCTATTTTCAAAATTCTTATAGGTATTATTTATTTTAGGTTAAAGATAGGGAAGAAAAGGAAGAAAGCTATAGTGGGCTTGGAATGATGATGCAGCTAAGAAGAGCCGCAAATCATCCATTATTGTTGAGGAATATCTATAGTGATGATAAACTTTTAGAATTATCTAAATTAATGCTGAAGGTTTGTTACACTGATTATTCGTTTCATTATAAAATGTATGTTCAAATAATTGTTTAATTGATTAAACATAGAGCAGAACAGTAGCAGCATACAGCAAGTATTTATAATTTTTATCATCCATATCTCTTTTTGATTTCTATAAACCCATTTTTCATAAGTATTACTGATGCTATTATTTTATATGAATAAAAAAACTCTCAGTTTAATTTTGCTTATGGGTTTTGGTTTACATAATGGAAAACAATTAATTTAATTTTAATACTGTGAGAAATATTGAGTTATATTTCAGAGTCTTGTATACTGTAAAACAAATTCTATAACGTTACTAAATAAATTCATGGAAACTGGAATGACATGAATTTTAGTAACAGTTACAAGTGAATTCTTAGTAATGGTGCATGGATAATGCCCGTAAAGCTTAGAGATATTTTGCTTGCAATTTTACAGGAAGTCTTTATGTAAACAGAACATATTTTTTTGCTTATAAAATTCCCAAGAATGTATCTGTAAAGATTACAGGTATTTTCTTTATAATGTTACTGGAAGTAATTTTGTAATTAGAACGTATATTTTACATGGGGAAAAAGAAAAGGTATATCTGTGAAAGTTACACTTTTTTTTTTTTTTTTTTTTTTTTGTAAGATTACGCCAAATAATTATCTAAGTAGAACATATTTTACTTGCGTGAATTATCAAAAGATGTGTGTGTAAATATTACATAAATTTTATAGCAAGGTTTCTGCAAATAATTATGTATATTGAATTCATGTCCTATGTGAAACACTGAATAATGTACCTGCAAAAGATTTTAGCTTGAAATGTTAATTAATGCAATTAATTATTTATGTTGAATATATCTACTGTATTTTAATTGCCAAATAATATATGGCAAAAATTACATTACTAAATTAAACTGAGGTTTTTTTATCTCTTGTACTAACTGATTGTAATATAAGATGCGCTGAATATCCATTAATCAATGATTTTGAGTAAAAGGAAAGGAATATAGATGTAAGAGAGGCACTGAGTTTTTTTTAAATTGGATAAATACAATCCCTAAATTGCTGCTAACTGGAAAGAGAGGTTACAGATTTTTTTTTAAACACCTAAAAATACTTGCCAGGTACTCTTGAAAGAGTATTTCTTTAAATTATTTCTGTCTATTACCATTTTTTGAATTATTTAGAAATCAAATTGAACTGCTTTTCTTAACTCCTGTTGCTCTTAAATCGATAAGTGGATGCTGCTAATAAATATAAACTATCATTGACTGTTGCATGGTTAGATAAGATTATAATATTAGAATATCAACAAACAATTTTTAAAAATGTATTCCCCATTCTTGAATATACATAGGAATTATGTAAAATTTAATATCATCCCTTTCCTTCCCAGTAAAATATTTAACTTAATTAGGTCTTTAACAATTTTGTTCTTGATTAGAACTATTATGAAATTTAAGAAGACTGTTTGTCTCTGCGTTGCTTAAACTCCTTAAGGCACACATTAATTTCTAATTTTCGGTAAAAAAATCACCTATTTTTTTCCTTGCATAATCATATTCTCTAGTGCATTTTAAGACATGATCGACAAATAAAAGTAATTTTTAACTGAAAATTTAATTAAAAAATCTTATTTTAAATTTTGGAATAATTTCACTTAAAGTTGTTTTTGTTTTTGTATGCTCCTTTGTATTAGAAAAGACAACATACAGGGGTACAAGTATAGGCTAATTTAAAAATATATATATATATTATACAAACAAAGTGAAAACGATTTGATTACATGTTTATTTTTGAATTTCAAGTTATTAAAATCAAATATTAAAATCAAATTTTCATACTTGCAAACATAAGAATTGACTAAAAATTCAGTTTGGTATGATATACCATGATGCAATGGTACTGCACAAAGTCCAACATTACAGTTCCTACAACAGTATCTTGTTTCTTTCCTTATCTTTTTACCCCTCTCATTTCTTTTACTGCAACAAAAGGCGTAATTTCTACAAGGAGGCGCTTTCTTTTCTGTCGGTGGTACAAATTCGAGAGAGTGTCTTTCGGTTAGTGTCAAAGGCTCAGGTTGGTAACCAGGCTGATCTGTTCTTTTGGATAACACTTTTGAATTGTATTTTTCAATTAATTTTTCCACAAGCATTTTAAGGAATTCCAAATGGTCTCGTTTTCCTCCAATTTTTTGATGTAGTACAAATGAATTCCATACGGATATATCCACAAGATTGAAAAATATTTTCTTATAGTACCTTTTTCCTCGTTTTCTTGCTGTTGAGTAATCGTGACGATACTGATCAAGCCGATCAACGCCTCCCATTGTATCGTTGTAATCAATTACAACTTTCGGTTTCTTTATTGAGTGCCATCATTGCTGTTTTACTTGTATTTTCCTGATTGTGTTAGGATTGTTGAAGCAAACACATCTTTTGTCTTTCCACTTCATCGCATCACTTTTCCTCTCTGAAACGCTTAACATCTCCCTTTTTCAATTTTTTATTTCTAATTTCAGATGGAACTTCTTTCTGGTATTTTCAGAGTCCCGAGGTATCTGTTGACTTTTACCAGGAATCTGCTAATGTGGATATAAAAGTTGTCAGTCGTCAAACAGACCCTTTATCTAATAACGGCTCGATCAGTGACAACACTATGAGTTACCGGCATTTCTCGATATGCATCCTCAGATTCGTTCCTTTTCCCGGTATATATAATGGATGAATATAAGTAACTTTTTTGATTCACAAGAGGTACTTTTTATTCCGAAACGAGCTCGTTTCATGGTATATATTGCTTCCATTTTATTCGCCCTTTATACAGTAGTAGACTTTCGTCTATTCGTGATATCTCTTTTCTGGTGTATATAGAGAGAACACTTTTTATTTATATGGTCAAATACAGGCCGTATCTTATTGAGCTTGGGATGTTTGTGAATCTCAGCATTGTAAGTTTCATGCTGTTAGAGAAGAAGAAGATATCTTTTTTATCTCAGAATAGCGACGAAAGCTAAGGAGCTTCGGAAAAATAGGTGATTGAAAAATTTCAACTTTTGACCAATACATCCTTACCTCAGGCTTTCTAATTATACCTAGTTTAGTATAGTTATGGCTAAAAATATATGTATAATTCTTCCATGGTAATCGGTGACCATTGGTTCTGTGACGAATCCTGGATGTTGAAATGCATACCTTTATTTGTTTCAGTTAGAATTATGTCCATGAAGAGAGTTATCAAAAAATAATTCAAAGTATGCAAAACATCGTAGCAATCTGTCAAAGTAAAAGAACAGCCAGGGCTTGCTTCAAATCAAAATCTCGGTGGTGAAACGTTTGGTTGATTTTTACTAATTTGAAACCAATTTCTTGCTATATCCAAAATCTCGTTATCATTATCTTCCGATTCACTTCCATCACTCCAGAAATATCACTTTCACTGAAATTGTCTGATAAATTGGCATATTCAAAATCGTCATCGTCAGAGTCGCTCATTATCAGATAACTTTTTCTAAACAATTACAAAAACATTTAGTAAAAATGCATTTGTGGTTAAATGCATACTTTTATGATATTTATGTAATAAAAATGGATATTTTACCTTTTCCACACCAAACAACTGCTTTCATAACAAAGAATTTCCTAGCAAACTTATAGCTAATCATCAAAATGCATAACAGGGTTTACACAAAAAAATTGCTGCATAGTGATGCTATCTGTGGTCAGATAGGTTTAATTATAATCTAGCCTATCTATTTTTACTAGACTGGATCTGAGATGGGCATTAGAAATAAAATAATACGAAGATCAAGCTCATGTGAGACATGGACATGTGCAAATTTGCCGGAAACTTTCGCCCGTGTGAGGCATGGGCAAATTCGTTAAGGGGTTAATATATGATCCATGTAGAAAAATTTTTTTTCATATATATATGTATGAAAGTTTAAAATTTATTTTTTGCATCTTTCATTATTTATTATTACTCACATTTTAATCTTGCACTACATGTTTAGCTGCTACATATACTAAATTATGAATAGACTTTAATAGATTATATATACATAGATTATATATAGACTTTAATATCGATACAAAAATATTTTTTATATCAAAATATTCTAGATAGGACGTTAGCTGATAGGATAAGAATGAAAAACCTTTAAAAATAATAAATAAATAAAAAAAAATCAATTAAAATTGAAATAATGTCACTGTATTTAATGATTCCCTGTAATTTCAATTCATTTTATGCTAACTTACAAATATAATGACTTTTGGATTTATTGTAGTACTGAGATTTAATCTCAGTACTACAATAAATCCAAAATTAATCAGTTTGCTTTTCTATTCTGTACAAATTGACATCTGAAATGGAATTATTTCTAAAAAAAAAATGTGTGTATATATAAAATGTGTGTATCTATAAAAATGTAAAACTTATTTTTTTTTAAACAGTTAAAAAAATTTTTTTAAATATCCATCAACTGAAAATCTTCAGAATTCTTCCAAACCTCTACAGTAATGTTCATGAAACAAAAGTTTAATTTTGAAATGAAACTTATGGCAATGTTGATTCTCATGACAATTTGGTATCATCAGTACAAAAGCAGTCCATGAATTTGTATGCTTTTTAAAATGGTATTTAACTGCAATATTCAACAATCAAAGTTATATTCTGAAGTTTGATACTATTACAAGATAAGCGTCCAAATGTAAGACCCATAAAAATAAAACTTGTCTCATATTTAGCAACTTAATTAAACTAATATAGTTAATATATTGAGCTATAATTAGCATTCATTGTATACTGAATTTCTTATTGGACTGCTTACAGTATAAAATGTAAAAGTTTTATATCAAAACACAAATATGGTCTAGAAATAAAAAATGAAAACAATATTTTCAAAAGTATTAAGTACATGTAGTACTTGTATGCATACATGCCTACAAGTACACGTATGATTGTTTCTTACATATTTACAGATAAATATTTTGCAAT